GCTTGCCCTTTCTTGCACTGTAGTTGTTGGTTGAGGTCCAAAATAATGCCGAACAGAGAAGTCGAACGAAACACTCTTAGCGTTGTTTGTTTCGTTTCCTCTCGCTGTATTGTCTCACCCTCAGATTTTGAACCGGCAACTGAGCGACTCAAGGCTTCACCACTTAAGAACTAATTGACGTTGTTCAGTTGCGCTTAACGTCATGCTCGTGGTGATTTACTTGATTAATTGTCTCGTTAAATTTTCTGAAAATATGTCTCACAGTCAAATGGTAATGGACAAGGTATTTAAACGAGCCATAAATCCAGGAAACTTTTGGAAGCCGTCAACACTTATCGACAGCGGTGGACAAATCAATTTTAATTATACATACTGGCTTGATCGACGTGATGGCTAAGAACGCGTTCAGCATTTTGTTTGCCTATGAGGATGGGAGAAAAAAGCAAATTGTTCATATTCATAATGCAGCAAGGTATATAAATTAAATAAACACGGTTGTCAACGAATACTTATTTTTTCTTTCTGTCAGGAGGCGATATGCAGGTTCTGACCGCTGACGTTTCGTAATCTGCTTCGGTTCCCCAAGAGCATTCATGGCTCCTGCTCTCCCGGACGGCGAACGAGCCGGTTTAATGTTCAGTGGCGGCTATACGTTGAGAGGCATGGACACCGACCGCAATCCTCCTGCTTTTTGATCAGCCCTATGAACTGGCAAACGACAGAGTTGTGATGTGAATCCTGTTTCTTCCTCTAACCATTGGTCACAAATGATCATTTTTCCTAAATGTTTCGTTTCGTGTATAGGCACTGAGTTGATATGCTTTTCAGGTGATGATTTAAAGTTGTTCGTGAATTTCTACAACTCGTAGTTTTAAAGAATATGACAGATCTTAACAAAGTTCAGACTTTGAGTCAAGTCTGAGCCTGAGCTAATTTCAGACTTGAGACTAAGTTCAGATTTTTTTGACGTCTCTCAACAAGTTCGATTATCGCCTAATGTCACTGATACAGTGCTTAACAGAGTGCTTACTAACGGATCGATGCGCGTCTGTCGTTTGCTTGACGTCGTTTACCGGTCGCCTATTGGCAAGGGGTTCCTTCGTTCCGTTCGTAGAAAAGTTTTGTTTCTTTTTCACTTGCTTCGTTGCTGATCGATCGATAAACCGGTTCGGTGACCATCGGCCTCGGTTTTGCTCGTGCCATAGATTATTGTACGTTTGGCAGTAGTTGGACGGAATTGCTTTGCGACGCACTTGCGTTAAGTGTTGTTTTCATGTTTGATCGTTCGTTGCATGCACACATGCGTTGGACTTAACGACCTCGCTGAAGATTTCCATGCGCCGTTTCTACGTTGCCATCGAACCCTCCTTAAATCTACTCGCCTCAGCCGTAATTCAATTTCAGTAGGTTGGCTCTTGAGGAAGGCGAACGCCTCCTCTCATCAGCAATTATTTACTCAGCTGAGCTGTCGAACGC